TCATGCTGTTAATAGAAAATAAGGCATTCTCACAAGAGCTAATAACAGAAGAATAAGACAACTTCTCTCTCTACCATAGTAATAGCATCATTGTTATCCATGCCTTATTCAAATGCTCTGGGCTTCTATAGTTGCGAGCATCCATGCAAAGAGCTTTCAGTCTTGTGTTGGTTTGTAAAGTGAAACTTAGAGAAGGTGGTAATATAACTTGCTCTAAACCCTTTCGGGTGCTTCTTATGCTATGTATCAAGGAGAGTATCTTCAGTCAGCAGATAAAGATCACACTGCTGTAATGCACTACAGTTTACAATTTGCACAGTTCAGGATTATAGGGTTGTCATTAGTTGTGGTTACAATGTGTGGACAACATAATTATTGTAGACACCTTGTAAAGATTCATTGATAGGAGACAGGTTACTCCCACCTTGCTGAGGACAACATGGTAAGGGACTCTATATGGAAAGTTCCTCTGGTGACGTGCAAATAACCGATTGGATAGAAGAGCCCATAGGAGTTTTTAATACCAAGGAAGCAAACTGTTCAAGTTTTTAATTCATTCTAAACATGCTGGTAAGTTTATTAACATGTTTGAAGCAAGCCAAAAAAACAGTCTCTTCTGTACGCTCTCATCCAGAGAAGGTGCTAACTGTCTGTGGTAACCTCAAGCAAACATGAATACTAGTAAGAATTTAACTACAGCATCACAGGCTTGCCTGAGACCATACTATTTGAACAGACGTCGTGACCTATTGAAGTATTTTCCTATTATCTTGATTTTTCTTTAACCCAATTCTTGTTTCCTTCACAAAGTTCTCTGGCTTAAGCTGGCAGAGGTACTACAGGACAATATTGGAAGCTGATATTTCTGCTCACGCATTAACAAGGGGACAATTGCTTTAAGTTCTCCCTAATGCTAATTAAATCCCTAAGCTAAAATTACCAGTTGATACCAAAATTTTCATATTTTAAGTGTAAATTCTGTCATACTAGCAACCTTGAATAAAGTAATTTCAAGTATCTGCTTTGCTAGAGATTGTCTTACATTATGACTTTCCTCCTCTTAGAGTCAAAGTACTTCTGACTTTGTCTCCACTTGTCTTTGTCTCCAGAATTGCTCCTTTACTGTTCAGCTGCCTGTTGTATTTATCCATCCCTTAGGAAAGAGTTAAAGGAGTAAAGAGAAAAACATCTACAATTAAATTGCTCTTTAACTTGTCGCTGCCTCTTAGCAACTGCAGGTTGTAATTCACTTCAGAGAGAATAAATAATGTAGGGTTTTACATTCATATTTTCAGTAGAAAAGGAATGCTGGGAGTCACACATTGCTGCTGAAAAGATAACCATATTCAAGGACTAAAAATTATAAAGACAAATCTCTTGTAAGTGTCTCTAGGACAAGAAACACTTCAAAAAATAAACAACAACAAAAAAAAAACACAACAATTTAGTCTGTAATGGCTTGCAGAAACTCGAAATTTCAGTATGGTGAGTTTAGAAGAGACTTGTGTGTCTGTCAATAGATGTAAGCAGAAAGCAAACTTATATTTCACAACTGAAAGAAGAAAATTGGAGCATACCTGTAAGGAATTCCTCCCCAATAAATATCTTGCATAATTTAACCATCAGCTTGTGCCCAGCACAAAGGAACTTTTTTATTCCGACTTTTATTAGCTCAAGGTTGTGCAGGTCTGTAACAAACATTTGCCCATCAGTGTATTTTGCATGTCTTATTCTTGACAAAAGCAAAGCAATTCAGCAAATAAACTTGAAAACACAATTGTTTGTCTACCTCTGGAGATCATCTAGTTCAGCCCCATGCTTAGAATAGAGTGGCTACTGCAGCTTACTCAGGGCTATGTCTATTCAGATTTCAAATACCTCCAAGGATGGAGTCTTCACAAGACACCTAAGACACCTCTTCATATATTTCATTGTCCTGGCAGTAAAGAAGGTTTTATTTTTTCCCCTATCTTTAAAATGAGTTCTCTGAATTTCACTCTGCACCCTTCCCCTCTTGTCCCACTGTAATTGATCATTACTGAAATGAGCCTGGCTCCATTCTCTTTACATCCTCTCTTCAGTATTTATAAACTCTAAGAGCTGATTTCCAGTTGGTTGGACCTCAAAAAGTTGCACCTCATGGGATTACTCTTCTCCAGGTGCAGAACTTAGAATTTTCATTTTTTGAACACGTCTTGAGATTTCTGTCAACACTGAATAACAGCACAACCACCTGTATCCAACACTCCTTCCAGTCCTGTCCTTAGCAAAGCCGCACAAGATGTGCTCTGCCCCATCATTCAGGTCAGTAAGGAAGATGTTAAGTAGTGTTGGATCCAGTATTCCTAAAGGTCAGTCTTACTAGTAAAGATCAAGTCCAAGAACACAGAGTAGGCTTTGTCCCAGAGTAGGCAGGGTACAGGGCATGAAGATGGTCCTTGGTAAGAGAAGAATTTGACTAGAAAAGGTAAATGCTTTTTCTTGCATGTTCAAACAGCTCTCAAGTCTGGGAATTTCTCTCTAGCATTGCTTTTAAACAGCACTGATATAAAATCCCTTCACACACCCAGAGAAAGCAAAATGCCTACTAAACAAAAGATGGTTCAGAATGATTTCTCCAGCTTTATTACAAAGACCCAGAATCAGTGTCATGCCACAGCACATTGATTGCAGATTTTTTCAATCAATTTTCAAATATGATGGTCTTTACAATGCAAAAACACAAAAAGGTAGAGAAATACTTTCAGAGCATGCTATATCAGAATTGAAATAATTAAAGATCAAATACTATTTGCACCTCTCATAAATTGATGCTTGATTAAATGTGGACAAAAATGAAGAAAAAAATCCCTCATCAGTGAGCTTGAACAGCAAAAAACTAAATAGAGTAAATAAAGACAAATACATGAAATTAAATTTTTTTGATCTCTAAATCCCATAAGATGTTATTATAAACAAAAGTGAAACAATGAAGCCTGAAATAAATGCAGCTTGATTTCCTGTGGATTTGTACCTCATTATTTAAGCCCTGAGTTGAGCTTTTCCTCTGGTATGTGAATTCATAACCTTTCACAAAACATGAGCTCTCTCTACTGTTTTTCTCTCTTTCAAAGTGCTTATCGGGTCTTATTTTTACAATACTACCAAGGACTCAATTATATTTGATACTTCTGCCCTTCTGTCAAACTTGGTTGACATCAGATATCAAGTTCAAAAGTTATTAGAAGAGACATTTAGACATACACATAGATCAAACAAATGCAAAAAATGTTATTTTTGTAAAGTAACAAGGCTAAAAATATTTAGAAAGATAAAAGATTGCTTTATATGTTCAATTTCATGGACAGGGAAATCTGTGACTCCTGCATGATTACAATGCAGAAATCTTAAGGAATAAGTCAGACTTCTGTTTTTCAGAAGAAAAGAATAACAATCCAAGACTCTCTGGCAGCTAAAATGGTTTCGGCAATAGCACTCTGACCATTGAAAATCTCTACAAAATAACACCAAATACCACTCATGCTTCTTATTAAAATGATGTGAAAGTAGCAGGCTGAGCTCACAACATCATATAAGGACTACAGGGTTCACCCCAATAGTTTCTGAAGTGATCTCCACTTTCAAGACACTAGTAATCTGATTTTTATTATTATTATTATTTTTAACCTATTTGGGTCAGATGTAGTGTGTAATTTTGGATTAAATTTAAAAGTGCAGATAAGCTGCCCCATTTTTATTTATCCTTCTACACTTTTTACATCTAAACAACATGGAAGCAGTGTATCCAGAGTTTTCATTTTGATAAATAAAGCACAAAAAGATTATTATAATGAATTTTATGGCTTTTAATGCAAGGGTTATAGTCTCTTATTAGAAAAATAGACTGCCTTGATTTTTTAAAGATTCAAAGATTACTTCTCTAACACAGGCAATGTCTTTACATGCATTCATTTATGAAAGGAATCACAAATGAAAAGATTAACCTGACCACTGAGGACACATTTAATATAAGCCTACCTGAGGCTTGTCATCACCCATATGGCATTGCTGACCTTGAAAAGCTTTCATGCTAACCAGAAAAGGTGGTACAGATCTAGGATGCAGAAGTCAAAAAAATGCATTCTCTTTGTGACATAATTATCATGTTTCTGCCTTAAAATGACACCTAGCTTTGTTCTTAATAGTTAATTTATTCAATAGTCTTAATTAGAAAAAAAAAAAAACAAACAGAATATTTATATGAATTCCAAGACTTTGTCTGTGACAAGAACAGCAGAGATAAAAATATCACACTGCCTAACCTCTCTTGACAGAGAAAGTCAAAGACAGAAGGGCACCTTCCAGCACCCATTCCTGAAGAGAAGTTAGTCTAGCAGAAATAGACTGCAAAAGGAGGCCTAGAATCATAAAGGGACAGGCTGAGTCCCATTTTAGCACCTGTGGTACCACATCTGAGCAATCGCCACCCTTAGGAGGGAAGCAACCTTTTGACAGGAGAGCTTCCCAACTTCCCTGCCTCTGAAAACTCTTATAGCTGACACTCTTCTGCAAACTTCTGTGTACAATGTACAAGGTCAATGTCTGACTTCTCATTAAGCTACTTAAGTAAGAACCACAGCATTTTTAGAAGCAAGATGAATAAGTTTTATAAAAATCTCCATAGAACAGAGGCAAAAGTCTGATATTTTTTTACCATTTTCTGGATTAAAAGTGGTTTCAGTTCCATGAGAGTAGTATTTATTGAATACCAATAAATTTCAATCAATCAGTAAATAAAATTCTTACCTCAACATCTAATTTTTTGTGTATTTAGGATCAGTCTTTGCTTGTACTGAACCACTGCAACATACAGTGCCCCTGTGCTTTGCACCTCTGAAAGCCTGCCTTCAAGAGAACAAAAACATTAGCAAGATTAAAAAAATAATAAAATAGACTGCATAGTATGACTTTTTTAGTCAGATGAATAAGCAAATTCAGTAAAATCAAACATTACCTGTCAGTAGCTAACATTTCTCTGTGATCTTCATATTTCTTGTACAACAACAATCACAAGACATCTAGTTCTTTTATTTAAAGGTCATTATTCATGTGCATTCATTTATAATATGTTGCTTGAATTTCTTCCAGTACCATTAAATTGTAAGGATATGATTTCAAACAGAAGCAAGATTTGCCCTTTTTCTTCTGAAACTCTCCTTTTAGCTGCTTCTACAACAGTTTGGGATGGCTGAGATGTAATGCTGCAGTTCTCAGATTCTGTAACTCAAACCATGAAAAGTAAAAATATTGATAATTTTTTCACCAACACCACTGTAACAAGACAAAGCATACTCTCCATGGAAGTGGGAAAGCAGAGATGATAACATGAAAGATACACACACACACACAAAATTATTATTTTTTAATCAGTCTAAGCTGTGAAATTCACACAAAAGACAGAAAGGCAAAAATGGCAGCACATGTAGCATTTGCCCAGGGTACTTTTATCAGGGAGCTGCCTGAGCTAGGCTCTTCTCAGCAGCCCATAGTTACCCTCAGTTCATGCTGGTCAGGTCTTTTACCAGGAGAGTTTTCCTTTCAGTATTTATGTAGTGCAGCAGGCAACTGTTTACCTCAGAGGCATAAAAGTAAATCCGGATGTGTTTGATCCATAGTGCCACAGTGACTCTGTTGCCTATGGAAACAAAGGCTCCTTTTCAGGGAGTTCACACAAGAGACCCTGAGATGCTAGTGAGAGTCATCTATTTCAACCATTGTAATGTTACTAGTTATTTTGCTGATATGTGTGCATATATATATATAAACACACACATATGTACACACACACACACACACATATATGTATATATGCTTATACACACACCCAAAATTTTTACCTCTGTTATATTCCACAAAGATCAGATGAAATGGTTCCCGAGTCTCACATGAATTTTAAATTACTTTATTTAATCTACATAATCCCCTTTTAAACAAATTAATATTTGAAATCTAATAAATGTTCAAGCTATAACCATCTGTTTTTTTCCTCCACCTTTCACAGAATAGGTTGTTACATGCTTTGTGGACAGCAGCTTGGCAAATCTATATCATGCTTACTCACAAATTTGGGTTTTGTAGATGACCCTCAGGAGGGAGTTTTGGGTAGTAGCAAAGAATGGATAACACGCCAAAAGCACCTTTGCTAAAGCTTTCCTTTGAAAGTAAAAAAAATATTCCTGACTAGACTGTAACTTCCTAAGCATCATTCAGATGTAGAATTCTGTGCATTTTACATATAATTTATCAAGTATGTCACATTGCCACAAATCTTAGTGCATAGCATTTGTTACAGCTCTTCTCACTGAGAGCGTGAGTAGATACAAAAGGAATATGGTCAGATACAAGACTTGAATGCAAAATGCATGACATTCTGCTCTCAGAACAATATTGGTTTAAATCTTCAGTTGCTGACATCTACAGCTCAAGCGCTGGAAAGAATACGCTTCAGTACTCCCTCCCTTTTTACAGATATAATTAAAGAATATTCAAAAAATTCATAGTCCATGTGACTCTGCTGAAGACCTCTTGTATGAAACTTCAAATTCCAATTTGAGAAGGCAAGTAGTAGCTAACAGCTCATTCTTAAATCAGCTTTTACCTACAGTTTAGCTGTTTGTATAACATGCTTACAACTTTTACACTGGAGTACATGTGTGCTTATATTACTAGATACATAAATGAATGAACAGTCCTTAACACCTTCACCTAAATTGGGCATCCTCAATTCTACATTTCTGTGGAAGCTTTAGTTTATACACAGTGTTGAGGTTTCACAATAAATTTCAAGGAAATTGTTTTAATTCATTTAAATCCGAATATTATTCTTCGTAAAGAACCTAAGGTCCAAGAAATCTTGAAAATATCATCTATATAAATATTCATATACGTGCAAGCAGAAAACTTCAGAAGCAGTTCTAACAGTGGAGATAGAGAAAAACTTCACTTTACAGTAGATGACTAAGATCACTTGAACGATGTACTGATAATGATGTACAGAAGGACAAAGAGGACAGGCTGGACTCATTACTAAAAAGAATTTATTGCAAATATGCCTCACTTATTATTTAAAAAAACCCAATATTTTGGGTAAAGTTCGTTTTGCTAAAATTAGCACCTGAAAAAGACATATAGCATGGAAAATACAGTTTGTTAGTGATCTGAAATTTCCTTTACTTTTTTTCCCACTGATTATGTTTGGGGATTTTCGTTTGCTCCTATTGTGCTTTCCTTAGAAAAAGAAGGATGTTGGAATTCAAACAAGAGATTCATGAGCAAACTTTTTTTAAAAATAAGTCATTCTGTTGATCCCGAGTTACACCACTATGTGGAAGAAAACAGCTGCTGGTAAATCCGAGACAATATCAAATATTATAACTGACTTGTATGTATATTAGATCTGATTCAGCCACCTCTCCAATATAAAGTACATAGTACTTACAGGAGAAATCCTACTGAAGATAGTGGGATGACTTGTGCACTAACAACTGCCTTAATGCAAGGTGGCAGGTTGGGGACAGGGAACGCAAGACTTATTCAACTCATTGCTTCTTAGAGAAGGACAAGAGAACTGCTGGGTAGCAGCTAACTTCATTTCCCCAGAGAAATAAGGGATAAGCACTCCAGAAACTACCTGAATGGTCAAGAGCTATAGACAACTCAAGACAGCTACTCAGGATGTAATGGGATTATTTTCAAGAAATACCTACCAAAACATATAGCCAGCTCTTCTGAGATATTTTCAGGTGTTTTTATTCCAGAGCTATGTTTGTTGCAACGTCTATTTTTGGACTTGCCCTGAAGTCCAGATGCTTGTCCATGTGCAATGCTGGAAAACACTACAGCGAAGAAGCATGAACATTGCAAGATGCCTAGCTTCTCTTAGCTTGCTATAATTTGCTAGAACTTTTTTGTTTCATGACACAAGACCTTATGTCAGCACCAGAATCTTCTTTATGTCCAAGGTTGCATCTACTTGTCAAGAATGCTTCTTGAATTCTCTCATGTCCAACCTAAATTACAAACAAAGTATTCATGCTGATTAGCAGCCATGGCAAGATTTAGGCCTCCTAGTAGATACACTTCACAAAGTAAGGTAGTAAATCTCAACCTATTTTCTCATAAAATGTATCTCCTAGATTGACAGTCTACTTAAATTAATTCAAGATTTTTCTCACTATGTAGACAATAGAGCAAAAGACAGAATGTTGTTTTCTAAAGGGGCAAATTACACGTTATACATTTTTGCAACAATAACAGCAATTTGCAATGTTTTTATTCAAATTACATTCAGGGTATCTGAGAAAGCAATAATTATACAACAAATGCATCATCCTAAAAAAAAAAAAAAAAAGAAATGGGAGACAGCAATTATAAATAAATGGCAAAGGTCAAATGAACATGTTCAAACAGATGGAATTACTAAACTTCTGAATTATAATCTGAAGATATAGAATAAAGGAAGAATTTTAAATGAAAGTCCAGTCTTAACTTCTAAAGCAATTTTTTATATGTCTTATTTATTTATTTATTTTTAAAATTCAGCCTCTAACAAGAGGAAGTAGAACAGAGAAATAAATTACATGCAAAAGCAGGCATATTTGACAAGTTGGGTAATACATGAAAAGAACTTAAAGTATTACGTTCGGCTTAAAAGATTAAAAGATAGAAAAATAAAAGTGTTCCTCTTAATTAGAGAAGCCATATGCTCTATGAAATAAATCCTGGTAGTAGGATAGCTTATAATTACAACCTTATTTTTAAGCAGATCCTGTTAATTCTGTTATATGCTTTATTTCTTATTTATTTACTGTAATATTAAGATCACAGCGTTGTTATGAAGAAGTGCACTTCACAGTTGAAATAACATCAGAGAAGTAATTTTTCTATCCCTCTTCCTACAAACAAGAGACAATAAACTTGGCTTTACACATTAAAGATTATTTTCTTGTCTACAGTGAGAACAGAAAATAAAAATGTGGAAAAAAAAGAAGAAAAGAATCCCCATAATGAGTTCTCCTTGCTCTGAGTATCCTGCGTATATCAATACAATAATTCAAGGTATTCATATGGAAATAAACCTGGAGTATTGCTTACACGTTCTACAGCCAGAGTGATAAAATGGGGTAAGTCATCCAAGCACCTAAGACCTGAACTGTGGGAAATCACTTTTCTGTTGTTGTTGTTGTTAGTAGTTTTTAACTGAGTGGTATGAAGTTTTGACATATGCTGTTAGAAAAAAAAAAAAAAAAAAAAATCGTTGCGGTAAAATTTACTCCATACTTCTCCCTTTTGAATTAGAGTATCTTTAATAAGATGCTGACCCCAAAACTCCAAGAAGTCACATACATCTAGGATTAGGAAAGCATGTACAGAGGTACTTTCACATAAGGAGCTATCATTTTCATAGAGATACAGATATGTTTCTATAACTACATAATTTGTAAGCATCAATCACAGTTTCTCCAGATCTCCCAATAGAATCATCGATCAGCCTTACAGAAAAACAAGAATCAGCCCATAAGTATGTTAGAAGCATAGCTCACTTGAAAACTAAACTTCTTGCTGCAAAATTTAATGTAAACAAATTCAAGATAACATTTAACCATATTTTCATGTGATGCTCATGTTCCCTTTCTTACCACACCCTGAGCACCTCACAGGTTACTGTGGTAACTTCCACATTTCACCAGTACTAGCTCTTACATGTATTCACTGCCACCAGTTCCACATGCACATGCATGTGCATCTCACTTCCCTTCAGGCATTAACGTCAAGCCACTGAGACAGGTTTATGCTAGTTCTGCTGTTCTGATTGCTAAGCAAAAAGGACAGGAAATCGTTATAGTCAAAACATTTCTAAAAAAGGTCACTTTAATACAAAATTACATCAATCACCTCAAAGAAAAGAAAGTACATATCAATTGATGTCATTCATTCATGAGCAAATATCAGCTTTAGTTTAAAAAAGGTAAGGCAATTCTGGAGAAAAATCATTAAAAGTTAAACAAGTCTTTCAAGACAGATTTAAACGCCATGAAAAAAGGTAGTATTCATAACTTGTTTCATATGATAAACAAAAAGTTTTCAAGAAACCATTTTACCGTAGACATTATGGTGAAAGTAGTGTTAATACAGGAGAATCAGTTAGGGAAAATGATTAGGGATGAAGTAGTGCTCATTCTTTACTCTGATCTGCTTAACCTCGCCATAGAATCCAGGATGTTAATTCACATATATGTGAGATGATACAAGTGAAACAGCTCAGAATTATTATACCTATTATGCATAATACATGCACATACTCAAGACTTACACTCACTAGAGAAGGTACCTAACTGCATACAAAATTTTGGGTGCTGATTTTGACACAGTCACATTTTAAGAATATATTTTGGAATTGCAGACAAGACTAAACTGTCTAAAACTTTTATTTTGCAATGGCTAATGTATCTGTATTATAAATGAGGTCCCAGATTTCAGCCATTAGTACTTACATGTGACAGCTAAAGTCAATAATTAAACTTCCAGTGACTTTAGTGGTACAGGACCATGCCCATATGTCTTAATTCAGCCTGTAACCTGCTTTTATGCATGTCAGAGTACATAAACTTATGTTTAGCTTTAAATATGCATTTAAACAGCACTGAAAACCTTCAACATATGTTAAGCGATTTGGTGAAGAAGAGTATTTGAATAGTTTGGAGACTGATACAAAGGAAGTGGATTTTACATGTGAAAAAAAAAATCTAGTTAAATGCTACATATTTGATAATTTATCTCTGTATAATTTATAGACATACAAAGACATGGAAAACAACATAATTGTAAAAAATTTTCAAAAACAGAGTAGATCACAAATCTCAACAACTTTTCCCTATGTGCTGTAACAAGGGCTGTATTCTGTGACATTAAAACTACATTGCACCTGCAGAGTTTTAGCTGGTGGGATTAGTCAACTGCAGGTTTAATTCTAATTGAAGGTTTTTACAGGGTTAAAGACAAGCTTTATAAATTTGCATGTATGTTAACATTTTAAATAAACAGCTTCAGTTGTTTTAATTTTGATCAGTCTGTAACATATCCATATATGGATTTGTAAATTCAAAACGTATTCAAGCTGCTTGATTTCAAATCAGCTAGAACACTGCATTTTGAAAAGGCTGGTTCAAAATGGAATGTCACTAAAGAGATTACAAATGAAGGATCAGTGAAGGAAAAGAAGGGTGCTTCAGTGAGAAGTACTGTGGAAAGAGAGCTGAGAACATGAAGGAAGAACAACTGAGTGAGGTAAAAATCTTACATAGTGATGATTAAGGGGCAAGAAGCTTACACTGGCCATCAAGCTGCACCATCATCACTTTCTGAGGTCTGGGATACTCACGCAGCATTAATCTGACAGAATAGTAGCTTTGAGAGGAGGCTCACTCAAGAAAAGTTTACTATATCAGAACTACAGCTCATCAGCTGCAAAATATCAGCTTACAAGCTTTGCAATTCGGACTCCATGCTTTTGTATCTTCTTGTCAACTGTGCACAACCCAATATGCATGAACATACCAAGGATTTCAGCCACTTGAAAACAACCTTTTCTGACTCGGTTCCTAATTCAGAAGCACACCTGAGCCACTAAACTTGCCACTACATTCACAAGCTCGCACTGTGGTCTCTACGCTGGAGCCATTCTTGAAGTGCAGCAGATGTGCTGCTACTCTGTGGCCCTGGATAAGTCATTGTCATTAAGCAGCGTTGGTGGAATCTGTACTGCTTTCTTTCCGGTTTTCCCAGACGTGCTTTTAAAGGAAATGGTAGTAATTAGCCCTAAATGCTTTATGTGCTGTAAAGAAATGTAGAACACATCCAGCAGGTAAAGGATTTTTAGAATTCTCTGCCAAACAAAGAATGAATTGTCTGGAATACTGAAAACCCTTTACTTATTAAAAATGAAACTGGGGCACTGTATCGGTGGAATATAGTTTATTGTGTTCTGTCAGTGAGGCATATGTAATTATATTATGAAGGTACAGATTCAGACTATAAAATCAACTTTCCTTTTCTCTTAATAAGAGACTGTTAAAAAAGTAAATTAAGTTTTCACCACTGTACTCTTAATAAGAATAAAACATTTTGATTCTCTTTGCTAAAGAAAAAGTTTATACAGTGTAGAATTTTGGATAATTTTGATATAGGGAAAGATAACAGGAAGGGTAAAGATATACAAAGACAACAACTAGCATTTCCATAAATTAAAAAAAGATAAGAAAAGTAAAAATAAGCCTTTGATATTTCAGTTGCGTTTTCAAGAAATAAAAGAAATAAACCTGTAACTCCTCAAAAAGGCAGTGAATATAGACACTGAAAAATCACAACAGTATTTGAAAAGAAATCAGGATCTTATTTTATGACCATAAGATTATGGCCTGCCTCTTTTATTCTTTAAGGGATCTTACTTTTCCATTCAGTCAAGAAGACTTCAAGGTCAAAATGTCTATATGTTTAATGCCACTTTAGATGCCAATGAAGGGAGTTTACAAGAAAAATGAGAAGCCTGGGGCTTGACAGGCCTCTCTGGGATAAATGCACCTGGTAAGGGCAAGATTGTATAAATGAAGAGAATCCATCATCCAACACCGTTGCATTGGATTTATTTACATTTAAGAAAAAAAATAATAATACAAACTAGTGAAATATTTGAAGATCACATATGTATGAAGGAAACAACAGTGAAGAAATGTGCAATAATAAGTCATATTCTTCCTTTGATTCAAGAAGGGGACAAGCTGTTCTTAAGGAAACAGATGACGACATACTTGGATATAGAACTGCAGATGAGACTAAACTGTTTTCAAATTGGTATAGTCCATTTCCTGGAAATATAAAGAGATTCTGAAGGTAACCCAAGACTGAAGGGAACTTGTTTGAATTCCAAGAACCCAGGAAAAAACTTATCAACATCTGAAAAACACTGTTAAATCTATTAGCATCAAAAAACATGCACTGAAGTGTACAATCCCAGGAAGTGTTATGAACATATTTCCAATGCTCACCATCAAGTCAGACACCGATGTGGAGAGAAGTTTTCCTGCCATTAAGCCACAGCATTCCGTAATAGAGTTGTGGTCAGAAATCTTTTCCAGAAACACTCAGTAAGTGCTGTTTCTCTTGCCTTGGCTGAATAGATCTTTTAGTACTCCACAAGGTCCATTTTCCTCAAGGATAGGTGATTTTCTCAAGAGGTGTTTCTTTTCCCCCTATTAATTGTTGGATTTATAATTTATCTCATATCTAATTGGTCATTACCTTATCTTCCTATAACTAGAAGCTCAACATGCTTATGAACAATTTGTTCTGTTAGGCATAAATGCTGCATTAAACTCAACAACTACAATTCAAGTAAAGAGAGTACAGATGCTAATGTCCTTTTCTCAGTACTCTGATGGAAGTAAAAGATGGTTTCCTGGGAAGTTCAAGGTCTAGAGGACATACTTCCCATTCATTTAGTATCTCCCTTATTCAGAATCAGTGACGTTCTTCTCTGGCATGCAAAGATAACTAATGCTAACACCAACTATATCAAAGAGGGGATTATTACTATCATGCCTTTGCTTAGAAAGAATGAACTTCTATAATGGGATTAAACATTTAGGAAGGCAAAAAAAAAAAAAAAAGAACTGGTGCAGGAGTTAGGAAACTACTCAATTTCAGGAAGTAAAAGGTTTCAGGAAAGGAAGAAGAGCCCTTTACATGGGTACTTGAGGAAAGATACCAAAAGACAGTGATCAAAAGACAGATATGGAGCAGACAGAGCATCTGGACAGAAGATTTAAGGTATCAGAGTTTGACCGCTAGTTCAGTATTAACAAATAGCTTTGTTAACATAAGTTTCTCTGCCAACAGGTCCCCACACACTAATGGAAAATTCTACAAGCACATATGCAATTAAATGAAACTAACATCTCTTATTATGAAGTAAATATATTTCTTATACTATACTGCAGCATTCATCTTTCACAGGAATACAGGAACTGTTTCGTCCATGAGAACTCCCTTATCTTTTCGAAAGATAAAGGAAAGATTTACATCTTATCCAAATCTTTTCATCATAGCGCATCTCTCATCTGGGACAAATTATGGGCAGAGTGCTTTCTGCCAGAATGTTGTCCTATGGTATTTGTCGTCTCAGCCATGAGACATCAGGAAACCAGAATCAGCAGGAGCAGATGTTGAAATATGTATGTTAACAGAATACTACATACAGGAGATAGACACCCATCTCCACTTCCAAAAGGCATCTCAGCATCAGGAAGGAATTTGACTATAGTACTGCAAACACTCATTTTGGTTTCATTCTTCTCCGTCACACAGCTTGTAGATTGCTGTTCTTTATTACTTTTTGGACTAAGCGCTTCACCAATTACAGAAGACAAGAGAGAGGCTATGTAGTCCTCAGAGTACCTAATTGTTTGCAGAAGTAGCATAAGACCTATGAACGACTGAAGTTGCAAGGTTCTCCACTAACATTCTTGTCAAAACTTAATACATTGTGTCATATATAAAAGCCAGAGGATCAAGCTGCTATTTTGTTTTCTAAGTGCTCCAGAAATGTGGACCTCTCAAGGTACATAAGTAGATGGAGAAGTAAGCGCCAGTGACATGCTGAGTCTGAGTCCACCAAAGTCGATGAAAAGACTGTTTTAAAAACCACAGGGTTTTGGATTGAACTTTAAATCAAGTTCACTGATTTAGCCCTGGAGAAGTCTGATGTAATTCATTATATAAAGGCAGACATGGAACAAAATTCTTCTACATGTTTCTGGG